CCTTGCTTCTTCAAATTCCCTCTTTGTTTCTCCTTATCGCCTAAGTTCTGCCTGTCAAATTAAATGTGTAATGAGCAGAGTATAGAAAGCCACTGCAGATTCTTCTTGTGCACAGCAGAACTTAAGACTTTGATTTTGATTTTTTTTTTTTTTTTTTAATCAAATGCATTTGAAACTCACAGCTCTGCTGATGTAATGCATCTCCTGGCTATGCAGTGCAGACTCCGGGGAGCGATGCATCCCTGTTAACGTGCTGGCAGAGCAGGGTCCGGGTCCTGTCTGCCTGGTGCAGAGGGCATCCAGGAGCATTGCTTTTGAAAGCAAAGCACCGTGGTTTTCTGTGAGAATAAGAATAGAAAGGTCAGATTTCCAACCTTCCATAAAGTAAAGCCAAACTGACAGCCTGCCCTTGCCCTGTTCAGAGGAGGTGCATGTGGAAAGTAAAGCAGTGAGCACATACAGAAATAGCTAAGGTGGTGAAGCTGCTATTACAAGGGACAGAAACAAACCTTTTTAATCCCCATCATACCTCCAGTGCTCAGTGTGCTAGTAGCAGTGTTTGGGGAGGCTGCTTTCCTCTGCCTGCTCTTGAATTGCAGGAAATTTGTCGTTGCACCCAGCGCTGCTTAGGTGGGGTGTGCTCAGCCGGACGAGCGCTGCTGGCAGGGCTGGTGGCGCGTGGGTGCTGGCAGGGCTGCCCTGTGTTCAAAAGGGCTTTCCACGGAGCTGCCGTGGGGGTCAGCTCGGCAAGCAGACAGCGCACCGCGTTACGTGGGTCTGTTGAGAGAAGGAAGGAGCGGTTAGGAGATGGGAAGAGTGTGGCAAGGAAATCTAGTAATGCCAGGCAGGTTGCGGCGGTGGAAGAGGCAGGTTGGTCGGCTGTCGTGCCTTTCGGAAGAGATTGGTGATGGCTTCGTTCTCCGAAGCCCTGGGGAGCCAAGCCTGGCCCGTGCGTGGTGGCCTCCCTGGACGTATCCAGCCGGAGGAAGGCTCCAGCACGGGCAGAGCCAGCGGGATGCTGGGTGCCAGGCAAGGGGTGGGAGGGCAGCTGCTGCCAGCGCCTGGTTCACGCCGTGCAAAGTGGGACCGGGTGTGACCCGTGGGTGAGCCACGACTGGTGGGAAGACCGGTACGGACAACTCCTGCTTCTTCCCTTCTCCAGCTTCTGCCACCCCAAAGGCAGGAAGGTTATTTTCCCCGAGCAGGAACAAATATCGCTGTCCCCAAAGTCCAAAAGCTTCTTAGGAGCTGGGAAAGCACCAAAGGACCTGCTTTTCTTGCTTTACCTTTTTTTTTTTTTTTTTACCTCTTCAGAGTCAGGTTTGTATTGAACAGCATTTTTATATGGCATAGAGGAATGGCATTAGGAAGTTCAGCCTAGTAACAATGTTGTTTCTTCTGTTGAACTGAAATTATTCTGGCTCTGCTGGGAACCCCTCACCGCAGCCTAGATGTTGACATCAGCGTGCAACCTCCCAACAGTGCCTGTGCTCCGGAGTGTCGTGGAGCCTTATTGAGTTTATACACACACTTCAGGACAAATCTTTGCTAATAGAGTTCTAATTTCTTCCTTCCTGCTTCCTAGATGCTTCTGTCTCTGCATACAAATGACAGAAATGGTGAATAATGTTTTCAAGAAAATGTTTATTTGCTAGACTCAGAAAAGCAAGTGAGAGGTCCTACAAGGTGAGAGTTCTTGGCAGCTATTGTGCCTCTCAAACCTTCTGGGTTTGTTTTTTTTGTAATGAAACATGTGAAAAGGAAAACAAGTTTAAAGCTGGATGTGGCAGGGCACAGTAAGGGGATTGTGAGTTTAATGGCAAACGTCACTTGTCTTTTCCTTGTTCCTTAGGAAAAGTCTGATATCAAGGCAACTGAAACTTGCTTCATTTTTGCGCTGCTCAGTTTGTTTTATGTGCTCAATTTCTCTGAAGCCTGGTAGACTGCATCTCATCTTGCAGTTGCTCTTTCATTCAGTGTAACTACAGCTCTCGGGAAAAGGACGTGGCAAATGAGACACATGAGACGGAGCTGAGTTTGGTGCCCAGGTTTCCCCCAGGCAAAGGCAGCCTTTGCACAGCTTTGCTTTGTTCACAAAATCAGCACTTGTTCCCTTTGCTCCGTTCCTGCCTGGGCTCCCTTCATGCGCGGTGTTGCCTCGGAGCTGAGGTCCCATCCCTCGGGATGGGGCACGGTGCGGATGCGGTGCAGGGCACGGTTGGACCTGGGGGGCTGGCAACCAGGAGGAGGTGACGTGGGGTGTGAGGTGGTGCCTCCATTCCCCGGACCTGGGGCAACGTGGCAAACAAAGCAGTAGTGCCACCTCCAGCTGCAGGGTGAGGTGGGCTGAGACCCTCGGAGAAGGACCTGGGCCATCAGTTGAAGTTATCTACAGTGGCCAGCGGCCTTTTTAAGATCTACCACTGAAAGTAAGGTGCTTACTTTGGCATTTAGGGAAAAAATTAGCCTTTAAGTACAGCGCTTTGACTGCACAGACTGCAAAAATACTGCCGGCAGCTTCACATTAGCATGTGCTATAAGGGTTTGCTGGTTTAAGGGATGTGGATTTAGCTCTGGATACTCATACTTGAAAGTCTGGGTAATGGCATGTTGGGACTAATTTTCCTGCGCTGTTCCCAGAAGGGTGACTGTCATCGACATGCATGCGTGAGGAGAGGAAGACGTACGTGTCTTCTGGTCTGGCAAATGGAGGCTGTGGAGTTGCTGAAGAAAAGCAGAGCTGTGGGAGGAAAATTGCCCACCTGTTCCCATCGGTACAATCTTCCATTTTTGGACACATGCACTTTTCAGCTCAGATACCCGCAAATGCCAGATTCTCCCTCTTTTTATACGCGGTGGTGACCTCAGAGCATGTGCAGTGAGTGACAATGAGCTCAAAGCGAACATAAGGGTTCCCAGCCCTCGTCTGAAGTTTGTTCAACACTTTGCTTCTGCTTAGTTTTACTGAAATGCCTGGTCCAGTTGACGATAATCAGTAAGGTTTAAAAATCTGCCACGGGTTTGCTTAAAGAAACCTGCTTACAGTCCTAGATGTCTCTTTTCATAAATCAGACATAATAGCTTTTTATTTTTTAAGCTCTGGGTTCACGTGGTGCAAATGCCTTAATGTACCCCTGACGCTGTCGCTGTCTTCTCTTTGCAGTTTGCTGCTTCGTCGTGCACAAGCGGTGCCATGAATTCGTTACCTTCTCCTGCCCCGGTGCTGATAAAGGCCCTGCTTCGGATGTAAGTACCCGCTCCAGCGCCTCGAGTGAAGGCACAGCGCGGTGGTTTGTGGATCACTCTGTTTCACAGCAATTTGCAGAAGATGTTCCCCCAGGTTTCTTGGCTGATGACACTTCTGTGCCGTTATTTCACAGGCATCTCTAATTCATTGTTATTCGTAGCTGTGTGGGCTCTCGTATATTTTTGAGACACTTAAAACACCTTCAAATCATCCAATAACTTGCTCTCAGCAGAGCAGGGAGAATGTATGGGAATGCAGAGATGTTTCAGCTTGGGGCCGAGTCTGCAGCCTTGCCCCGTCTCCCTTTTGACCCTTGAGTCGCAGCCTCAGTTTCCCCATGGGTAAGACAATGTTTCCAGGGTCTGCCACCTGAACCAAGGTTTTAGGTTTGGGGTTAATGAACATGCATTAAGCACTAAGTGCTGAAAAGCTGCTTTAAGACTTTGGCCAGCATGCCCTGAGCTGAAGAAGACTCTCTCTTCTGTCAGGGCTTGGTTTGACATCTTGATCCATTCCTTTTGTCACAAGTGAAATACCTGAAAGAATTAGCTGTCGTTTAACCCACCGTGTTGCTAGACTAGAGTCAGCCCCGGGGACTGTGCCTGTCCTTGTTCCTCCTCAGCTCGTTACTTTTTTCTAAGGCATCACTGCCCTGTGTCGTTATTTCAGTGTCAGTCTTGTGTTGCCCCGTGGTTGTTCGGCGCTACCTGGGGTCAGGGCTCTTGGCCACTCGCCTGCAGCATCCCTGCTCCTCACCCTGGGGGCTTCTCACTAAAAGTAGGCGCAGTTTTTTCAAGTCTGTTTCATATCACCTTGCAGGTTTAATTAAACCAAGATATATGTTTGGTCTTCTCAAGGTGAAAAACAAAAAAACCTACAGGCATATTTCATGCTTGCTTGTGATTTGCATGGTCAGTGTTGCTGCGTTGGCTCTGACTCCCTCAGAAAACACAGAACTGACCAGGCAGCATCATCGAGGACAACAAAATTACTGGGAAATACTAGTTTAGGTGTAACTTTTGGTCTTTGAAAAACCAGAAAACCACCCAAATGCCCAGTGACTAAGTCCCCATCCTTATCTTCACAAGGGCTTAATTTCCTGGTGAATTCCCCGGGCTTTTGGGGGCGAGTGGGAGAGCTGGAGCAGCAGAGCGGAGCTGGCTTAGGCTCCCCGGCGTGGTTCTGCCAGCGCCTTTCAGGTCTGTCTGGCAGTTTTTGTGTTTTACCGTGGAAACTAGCTAATTTGGGGAACTGCTAGGAGAAAAGAGATCGAATTGGGGAAACGACAGTGCACCACAACTCTCACCCTTAAAAATAGAACCAGTGGGAGCAGGCAGTGTAACAGGCAGCTGAAGGTGGAGGCTAAACACACGTTGTCAGTGGCCCTGCCCGAAATGGAGCTGTGTGCCGTGATTGTGATAAATGGGAGCTTTTGGGGACGGGGGTGAGGCTCTCAGGGAAGGGCCGTGACAGCTCTGAATGGGGCAGAGCTGGGGGGTCAGCCCCGTTAGGGTGTAGCGTTGGGCAGGGAGTCGTGGGCAGGGGCTGCCTGTGCTCCTCGGGCAGATGCTGCGAGGAGAGGCTGTGGGGGGACGTGGAGGGGAAGGGCTGAGCGTGGGTCACGGTGGTCTGGGATCCTTCACCCAAACTGCGTTTCTTTTCCAGCCAAACCAGGGGGCAGGCTTGCTGGCTTCTCTTTTTGTCTGGTTTCTCCTTCCGTATGTGTGTGCTGCATTTGGGGCATTTCTAGGTCAGATCAGAGAAATCTGGCTGGGCTTTGGTCCCAAAGAACCACTGGGCAGCTCCACTGCAGAGCTGTCGGGGACCTCGGGCAGGGGGACGGGGTGGGATGGTACCTGACACCCCCCACATCCCCAGAACTGCCCTTGAACCTGGTTCTAGCTCTGGCTCTAGCAAAGCGGTGACTTTATCCCAATGCCCAGTTTGTGGCTGATCAAGGGACCTCCCTGTGCAAAACCTTGTTTTGACCCTGAGCCCCTGATGTCGGATTTCCCGGGGCACATGCGCTTGCAGCCCCACAGCCCCCCCGGCCCTGGCTGCACAGTGTGGTGCCTCCAGCGTGTCCCGAGGATACCTGGCAGAGTGTTAATTGTAACGAGCTGATAATGAAGCTTTTGGCTGTTTCCCACAGGCTGAGCTGCCCTGGTAGGCGTCTTGCAGCTTGCCCAGGTTGGTGCCGCAGCAGCCTGGGTCCTGCTCCCGTGTGCTGCCAATGTGGCTGCGGGGGGTGCTGCAAGAGCAGCCCCAAAAAAGGGTGCTTTCAGACTTCAGCTTGTGCACAGTTTGATAAGTCCAGTTTTATTTCCACTTCCCACCAGGCAATTAGTTAAGATATTACATGGGTTTTTTTAACCCCTGCCCTGGGTACTTTGCATATAACTATCGCTTTTCTCCCTGAAGGCTTTCTTCTCCATAGGGGCTACTGCTAATTGCGGTGTATTGGTGGCTATTGAACCTTAAAAATTAGTTGGTGGAGGGGAAAAGGAGATGCAGTAGAGATGCCAACCCAAGAGAGACTAATGCATCCATGACTACTCTGGTCCTGCAGACTGTTGGGCCACAACACATCTTTATGAACCTGAAGGTCAGGAGAGGCTGCTGGGGTCCTGTCCGAACACCCTGACCCCAAAGCAGTTAGCAGGGTTTGTTCCTGGGCCCGGGTGACAGCCGTACCCTCTGCCTGAACTGTGGCATCTGGGTGTTTGCGGCTCTATCCTGCACAGCCTCCGTGGGAGCAGCTGTGGCACTGATGGCCCTTTTTCTGGTGGTACAGCAAACCCGAGGGGAGGGTGGCAGGGTGGCACTGGTGTTGGGCTGCAGGGCACAAGGTCCCGGGGTCTTTGCTGTGCATGGAGCAAGCAGGGTCTTCCAGCGAGGCGTGGGCAGGAGCTGCTGCCTGCTCAGTGCGTTGCTTACAGGGAGTAAGGCGGAGGCGGTCAAGGACGGGGCTCCATCACTCTGCTCCTGGGACTGGGCTCGGCTGGGATAAAAGCATCCCTCTGTCTCCATCTCTGGATGCTTTGGGCCTATGCCAAAGGGGCACAATCGGGATCCATGCTGGGGAGCATGGTAAGGTCTGTGTGTGACCGTGCACATGTGCACACACAGTGTGCCCACACGGCGTTTGTCCCAGCACGCTTGTCGGGAGCGGGTAACTCAAGGGGGTGGAATTGCATGAGAGGGAAGCGATGGCTTTGTACCACTTGCCTTCATGCCTCTGTTTTTTTCTGGGTAGTTTCACTCATTGCCTCTGCTGCTGCTGCTCTGCAGTGGGCGCCTGCTGTAACAGGGCAAGGAGAACTGGAGAAGGCATGGGGAAATGAGGTAAGGGTGGTAGAAGGTAATCTACTTTCCCTTTCCCTTAGGGTTGAGTTTGGCCATCCAGGGAAGCTAAGAAGCTTGCATGCACATGTCCAGGTCCCTCTGCACAGTGCCAACGCTCAGGGTGTGGGTAATGTGGCAGACGCCCTGCCACTCGCGCTGCCTGCCCTGTGCCCGCTGGGCAGCGAGGCGTGTCGGGCTCCCTCCATCATGTAGCCAGGGGTGCTGGAGGTTTTACAATGACCTTTGCTGCTAAGTAATGTCATGCTGTGAGATTCCTTCTGGCCATGCGGATTTAGCTCTGACACTCACGCTTTCTCTCCTCTATTCTCTGTCATCTAAAACATGTAAAGAAAATGGCAGCAAGGCCCACTTGCGGGTCTAGCACCCTGCAGACCTGATTCAGGCTACAAGAGCTATATGTCATATATCCAAAAATATATAAGTTTAGGTATGTATTTAGATATTTGTGCACACAGAGGTGAAATGTTACTTATAAGGCTGCTTTAGGTGCAATGTAACCAGAGAAGGAGCTGCTGTCTGAGCAGAACCCCCGGGCTCCCACCCCTGGCTGGGCTGGCGGTGGGGCTGGGTGGCTGCAGGCACCCAGAGAGGGTGATGGCAGCAGGCAAGGGGGCTGCTGGCCCCACAGCTGCAAGTGGCCCCTTGCTGCTGCAGCAGCCCTGGGAGCGGCTGGGTGGGTGCTCCGGGGCGCTGTGGGTGCTTCTTGGGCGGCAGAGCTGGGAACCCTCCCTGGTGTGGTGCAAAACCAGCAGAACAGTGCCAGCAAAGGCGATCAGGGCAGAGGGAGGTGGAAACACTGAAACCACTTAACCTTGCTCAAGGAAAAGGAGGTTGGCGGTGGGAGAGCAGGGACGGCTGTGATCCAGATGCCGCCTCCGGAGCTTTGCTCAGGCGTTGGGCAGCCTGCCCGCCCAGGCGCTGCTTTCTCATCCTTGCTCGTCATCTGGATAGCAGCTCGCATCAGGCAGGGAAGGCAGCAGGTACCAGGGAGATGCTTTGCCTGTTTCTGCGCGGAGTTTTGGCCAAAGGTGGATGCAATGCTTTTCTTTTTCTCCCCACCAGCCCTGTCCAAGCTGGGGCAAGCAAGGAGCAGCGAGGAGCCCTCGGACAGCCTGGTCCCGCTCCCCGAGCGCAGCCCCTTGGCCCCTGCTCAGCAGGTCTCTCCCACCCTGCGGCCCTCTGGCTGGCTGTAGGTTACTGTGGGCAGCCTCTGCCTGAGAAGAGAAAGGTCTAAATTAAATCTAAGTTGTCGTATTTTAAGAGGCACCACTTGATACCAGGGCATGCATAAAGGCCCTTGATGGAATTCTCTATTGCTTGCTATTATTGCTGGGTGAGAGTTGCCTCTGTGGCTCATTGAGCAGATGGGTAAAAGCTGCCCAGTTGGTGTTAATTAATCTTTAATACATTATTTCTGAAAACAAAGAGAGGAATGCAGATGCTTGGGACTTAAAGCAGGGAGCAAAAATGGCCCTTTTGTAGCGGGATTTTTTTGCCATTTAGCAAAGCCCTCTGGGAGGCTGGTTTGTACCCCTGCACAACTGTCAGCTGGGGTGCATGCAGGGCAAACTTTGTTCCTTCTGCACTGGCAATCAAGCTTCTTACAGCAATATAATCCTTAAGGAGCTTTGAA